AAATTTATTTCAAAATTCAAGTTTTTCATCATTCATCATTTCCTTGCTTGCAAAGAAATGCTATCCTACGCCTTAGTTAACCCCTTCGCAGTGCTTATGTACAAATGGACACTGTGTGGGTGGTTGGAGGTGTCGACTAGCAGGCAGGCGAACGAAATGGTTAGACAACACTTTGCACACTTCATTTGATCGCAAGCGAAAGATAATGGAGAGCGACCGAAACAGTGCCAGGCCCTCCGAAAAATGATGTGCTAACTGCAGCGTTAAGAGTCAAGAATACAGTGCATAGAAAAAATAAGGGAAAACAAAAACCTTAAATAGCCCCCCAAAGGCACACTTTAAAAAGATACTCTAACTGTGCGGGGGTGGCAGGTATTTACAACTGTTTTATCGTGGATGAGAATTCTAAGAGGTTAAGGGAACTGATAATAAATATCGTTAATATATATAGAACTAGCGAACTACAAACCGCTACAGGGGTGACTCAATTTTGGAAGAAAATAAATTATTTTCCAATACTTGTAATTTCTTTTGTTAAACATTTCAAAACTAAGAAGCTTAGTGTCCTTTCTTGCAGCCCCTTTTATTGAAAAATATTTGCTTTGCTATTGCCAGGGATCACAAGCTTGTAAGATAATCAAAATCAAAATCATGGAGATAATCAAAATATTTCTTTCAATATATTTTTGGTATACATTTTTTGCAATATATTTTTTATCATATTTTTTCAATATATTTTTTGTTTGTATATTTTTTCAATATATTTCTTTGAATATATTTTTTTAATATAAATTTTCAATATACTTTTGAAATATAATTTTTTAAATATATTTGTTTCAATGTACTTTTTTTAATATATATGAAATATTAGACTCGTATTTTTGCATAAATTAATAAAATAATAAAGCTTGCGATCCATGCAGTGGTCGGCACGCACACATGCACATGTTTGGCAGTGCTTGGGTTATTATTTTCTCCACTTCTTTATTCCACAAAATCTAACAGAAAGGGCATTCAAACTTCTAATAGTTGCACCCTTATAAGTTTCGCCTTTATTTTACTGGTTGATTTTCTCTGCTGATGTTGCGTAAAATAAAGTGTGAAATTTATTCAGCCCTCCCCTCTTCCGGGAAGTGTGTGAGTGAATTTTAAATTTCCCTACAAGACCTCGCACCTTAAAGCCAAGTTCTTTGGGGGGCAACACACAATGGGGCCAGACATTGATTTCTTATCGTTTTCGACTTGCCTTGGGCATTGGACGGACATCCACATCCACATCCACTTCGTGTCTAACACATCCTGCAAAGTCATTTTGATTTATTGGCAATGATTTTCCAAGTTATTGAACAGATTAGATGGGCGTGTGTGTGTGTGTTTGTTGCTGTTAGTTTCCTTTTCCTCGGAATCGTAGGAGTGCCAAACAATTTGTTTATGTTTTTTTGGTAATGGACTTTGCTCTTCCTTTGCACATTTCTCCTTCCTTTCGATTAAATGCAGAGCAGCAAAATCCATGGAGACGAAATTGAAAAATTTTCTGCTCGTTTCTGGTAGAACAAGTTTTCCAAATGAAATGACAATTGGCCAAGAGACGGAGACGGAGAGCCAGTCAGTCTGAGACTAAAGAAGGATGGATGGATCTTAGAAGGATCCCCCGCCCCCCTTCTGCCCGTTCTGCTTTAAGATTTCATTTTTCTGAGCAGAATGAAACGAATAGCAGATTGAATATAATAAGTATGAAATAACTATAAATATCATATTGCGAAAAATGGTCAGCAACAGGCAAACAGGACACTGGATACTGGACACACAGCAGAGCGCAGCAAGCATTTTCTCTGGCAGTCGTTGGTAACAAGAGAGAAAAAGAGAGAACCCCACAAGCCTCTGATGATAATGTTGATAACACAACAAATAAAGCTGCAGACAAACGAGTTCGAAATGTAGGGGAAAAAAAAGCAATACCAGACTCTGGGTATGCCCTGTGTAGCGTCGAGGAAAAGGGAAATAATCCGAGGGTATCCTTGTGTCCGGCTGCTGGCCTTTCTGGCTACCCCAATATATAATTGAATTCTAACCCAATGCAAACCTCTCCAGAGAAATGAGACGAGGACGAAAGGATGCAACGATCCAATGACTGCCACACCACCGCCACGCCATTTCCCTTTTTCCTCTCGCATCATCTCAAAATATAATAGAAAAATTTCTATAAAAAGAAATACGAAAATGATAAAAGAAATTCAATCAGAATTTTCTGCTGTTGCTGCTGACCACAGAAAACGAGAGAGGTACACGAAAGCCGCTTAAGATGGAATTATAAATGGGGGCGAGTCAGCCAAAAACCACACACCAAAAAGACAGAATTTATGTATCATTATGCGCGGAAAATTGACTTGTGAATGCAAAATATTTAAACAATGAATAGGGGAAAACCCACCCACACACACTTCTTGCAATTTGAGTGCATGAAAAATAGCGTAAAGCTGCTTCTATTCCACTCTAAAGGGAGTCGAAAATTAGTTGAATTTCATTGAGCATAGAAAATAGTAGCAGACTGTAGCTGACGTTTCCCATAATGTGATAGAGTTATGCTGCTAAGGGAGCGAATAGTTAGTAGAAATTTCTGAGAGCTATTCTCGTAGATAATATGAATGAAAATCAGAGAAGCGGCCAGGGTGAAAATACACCATCAATTCTGTTTTGCTCAAGCAATGATCGTCGTTTTTTTTTTATTATTTTTCGTACGTTTTTTTTCGCTGATCCCATTACCGATAAGTCACCTTTTACCATATCTGGTAACAGAGCCGCCCACGCTTGAACCCTTCCTACAGAACATAGACTTAATAATATGTTGTACGTCAGTTCTGCCGTATATCTTCATATTTCTTCATATCTACTCTGCTTACTGTACGGTAAGTCTTGAAAAATAAATATTCATCATATTAAATGTGCATTGACTTAATTACTAGACAGCTTGTAATTACACAAGAGCACTGCTATTTTGTGCACACTTTTAAACCATTGTTTAAACTTTTTCCGAGTCCATTTTTTTATTCTATGCACTCATAACCACCAAGTTGAGTTGTTGCTGCCTTTGAGCATCTCTATGTTTCACCCACAACCATTCAAGACGTTAATTGTTTTTGTTTTTGCTGCGCAATTGAAACTCGTTTCGCCACAGAAGCGAAATTGACTCAAAACAAAAACAAGCGAAGCTTTAAGCTTTTATTTGCAGGTGAGAAAAGTAAATTAGACTTTAGAGCCCCCTTCCATACCGAGACGAAATTAAATTATTTTTAGCAAAGAAAAATACAAAATTCTCAAGAGCAAGAAAATGCGGTAGAGAGAGAAGGAGAGTGAGGGAGCGGAGCTGCTTTATAATCGCAGTTTTTCACCCCAACTTCAATCTTTGCTTGTTTTTGCCATTGAAGAGGATTTGTGACTCCCCTGGCACTGGCATTGACTGCTCTTCTTATCACTGCCCTGCCTGCCTTCCAGCCAGGAAGGAAAATCCAAGCCAAGCCAAGACCATTTCCAATTGCCATGACAACAGACAGAGGGGAGAGGGGCGGAGAAACAGGCTACAGAGGGAAAGATTTCAACGAGTCGATTGCTCAAATAACATGCAACAAAATAAGCAATCAATGTGCAACAGAAGACGAGACAACAATGGGGAAAGGATTACCTACCCGGTGTGGCCCCACACAGAAGGTTGTTGAACTTTTGCGACGATAATCGGCAGGTAAACCCAAGAAATTATGGCCAAAATTAAATGAAGTTCTTGAATTTTAAATGTCGGAGGAGGCACTTGCAAAATGGATCCTTTCATTTCTGACTTTATTATGCACGAATCGCGCAGCCAACCAACCAAAGGCACATGCCGCATGACGCACGAGGAGCTCGCGATATTAGTTTAAGTTCTTTATCCTGTGAGCATATGGAACAAAATCTAGATTCGTGTAATTGAGCCAATCTTTATTGTACATGGAACTTCTTAGGTCTTTCATGTTTAAGTTGGATTTGGACGTGTTGATCTTTTCATTGCATATTTCGCTCTAGAATATTTATGTAGCATGTAAGTTTATTTGCAGCGTAGATGTTGGTTGGTTGACTAGCGCCGCATATTGTCAGTGATCTCAATTGCAATTGCAAATGCAATTTTTGCATGTTTTAAAAATCTAAGATTGTTTGTTAATGTTGTTTATTTTTGATGTCGTGTATAATCTTTGTTAATGTAAATTTAAGATTTAAAAAAAATCAGTTCCTCATTGCATTCCCATGCGTTGCATCTTCTAACCCGCAGATAATCCTAAGATGAATGGAGATAAAATATTTTTCGTATTATTTCGTAAACGTACAACCAATATACAAGAAAATCAGCTTCCTTTTTTTCAGTCGGATATGAACGTGGTATATAGCCACCCATGACAAACAAACCCTACCACCTAAAAATCATCGTATTTTGAAACTGTCGTCGTTTATTGATGAATCGCACTGTGCCAACTAATTGGCGATCTTTCACCTCGCCAATTCCAATTCCACCTCTGCAGTTCACCAGCCCAAATCAGTGAGACAGAACTGTGTCAGTTTGCAATTAAATTCCGTCAGCAATAAATTCAATTAAAGAACAAAATCCCAAATACTTGACCGCAACGAATTCTCCCCCCAGGCAGCAGCAAAAACAACAATCAATGGATTGGAAAAAAAAAGAGGCAACCACAACCAACCAACCAACCAACCAACCGCCTACGAAGCTGCCGATCACAACAAAATAGTTTTTTTTTGTCTTTTATTTCTTGTTTGTTTTTTGGCGCGACCCCAATGCGTGGCCGACATCCGCGCTTTTGACATAACACAGCAGTAGAAACGAAACTCGTTCTCAAGTTTCACTCAATTTAGGAGAGATGAAATGCAAAAGCTTTCCGCGCACGATCCCGCCGCCACTCACTCACTCAAAACAAGTTCGTTCGGTCGAAAATCTGTGAACCCAAATCCAAACACACACGCCTTTAGTTGTTCAGCGTCTGTCGGCCCGAGCGTTACTAAAGTTTATAGTGCATTTTTTATACAACATAATAACAGTTTTTAAAGCAATTTAAATACTATGTGGAAACAAATGTTTGGTGTTTTGCTTATTGCCTTGTGCCTGATGCACACTGGTGAGTGAGTGGGGAAAGAATTTCCAATAGAAAGTGCATATTTTCTAGTCAAATTAGTGTCATAAAAGAGAACTTGTTTTTGAGTGAAAAATTTGAACCAAAGTAACGTTTAAATATACGAAAAACTTTTCAATTTAAATGGAAATATTTTAAAGTGAAATCGAAATGAAAGAAAATGTTGTAAATTTAAAGATTCCATCTGCCCAAATACACAAATTGTAGGGAAGACATAACCAGATTTAGAGTGGATAATTTTAAATAATAAGCTTAAAAAATATATAATTAAAAATAACTCCCAAACATGCTCCCTCGATCGATCGCACATATTCATTTCCAGGGGGAATATTCCATCAGATTGTGCCGTATGGAATTTCATTATTTATAACATACTAAATACGCGCATACAAAAACCCGACGCACATAGACATTTCCAGGGGGAATATTCCATCAGATTGTGTCGTATGGTATTCAAAAAATAATTTCATTATTTACTGCATACTAAAACAGTGAAAAACAATAATAAAAAAAAAAATCCACAAATATTCACGTTCATTTTGCCAAGACAAATATGCATGAAAAAGTGACTTCATAGCTAAACACAAAAAACACAAATAAAGATCGAGACGGAGAATTTGTGTTGGCGTTACATAATGGAATCGTGTGGGGAGGGGGGTAGTGGGGGGCAGAGTTGCAAAACTGGTTACAACCCAAGCCGAGCAGAGTAGCAAATTCAAATCTCCCCCAACCTTGGCAAAGCTTTCGTTTCGAGTGTGGCATCTGTAAACCAAATTAGACTCAATCTCGTTCTACGTTTTTCTATCTCTTCCACACAGCCACGGCCATCAAGTGCTATCAGTGCAAGTCCCTAACGGATCCCAACTGCGCCAAGGAGAAGCTCGATGCTGGCTCCAACATACGTCAGGTGGACTGCGATAATGTGGCCAGGCCCAATACCATGGAGCAGCTGCAGCCAGTGACCAAATGCAACAAGGTGGTCACCAGCGGTAAGTGAAAATCTCTGCCTGAAAGCATTGCGTTCTTCCATGCATACAAATTCCACAATACACACACACACACACACACACAACATTCGCACGCACCTTGAACGGAAAACGTCAACAATTTAATAAGACGTGATGTCACCATATAGATGATGATCGGGTGGGGTGTGGGTAAGGTCGGCAGACATTGTGTGCTTTGAGTTCCAATTAACATATGGCAAACACACAAAGCTAATGCAAAGCAGGCACAGTGCGTTACGCAGCTATAAGGCGCAGTGGATGGATAGTAAGACATTCAGTGATTATCCGATATAATTATGAGCTTACATTTTAAATATTATAGCGAATGTCGTAGAGACAATCCTTTGGAAAATCCTTTGGAATTTCTAGTCATCTTCTCCATGTTTTAAGCCAGGTAGAATTAACAGCAGCCAGATAGGGATACTTTTAGCCAGAGGGAGATCAGCAGTTTGGCAATTGATGTATACAATATATAACTAATAAAATTTCACAGATTAATATTCATAATGCTACCGGAATTTAGTCGGGATTTACCTGCTAGCAGTAGTTGGTTGGTACGGTTGTCCAAATAACTGTCAAAAGAGAATTTTATTTAATTTAAAACTATAAAATAGAATATATAAATTTTCACTTCCCTGTCTGTATTTTGTTTCCCCCAACGAACTCCCATCACCTACTCCCATTTCACGACATTCCAAGGATTTCCCATCTCTGTCACATACGCTTACACGCTCGCATAACGGAATAGTTATTTTCCTCTCGTTTTACCCATCGAAAGAAAAAGTAGCCGTCTCGTTCTGTCGGCATCTTAGAATTCTTGTCTCCTCTTTGGGTTCTCGCTCTCTCTTTCTCTCTCTTGCATTCTGCTCCAACGTCAGACGTACATAACCTCACAATTCTTTTCGCATTTCTTTACATACTAAAAACATGAACAGTCGTGACTCACCCCGTAAAAATTTCGGATAAACATTTTCTCCTTTGCTTTTCCACACTTGCAGACCGCGCCGGCGTCATTGTCTCCCGCGACTGCCACTTTGAGTTGATTGGGCAGAAGGACAACGAGTGCACGGTAACACACAGCCGCCAGGTGGAGAGCTGCTTCACGTGCAAGGGGGATCTGTGCAATGCCTCTGGAGCGACCCGTTATTTGGCCCTGAGCGCAACGGCTCTGCTTGCGGTATTCGCCTTGCAAATGGCGCTGTAAGGGAAAACTCAATAAATCAGCAATAGAAAAACAAATGCGTGTTAATATTGCATACACACATACCTATGTACAAATGAATGACCGCCTGTAAATTTTGTTAATTGGTTTTAAATAAAATTCAAAAAGAAAAACACACTTACATATGAATAAATATTTGGGAGCATTTACCTTTGATCCTGGAGCTGCAGGGCATTTAATGTCAGTCATGAAATCCTCTGCCAAACACATTTCGTTCTCCATATTCGTCTCGTCTCCTTGGTTTCAACTCGCAAAAAACGTTTAAGTACGACGCGCACGACGAAATAATGAGCACCAAACACAAGATGGCGGCAAAATTAGACTTGGTTTGGCTAAAACACACAAATTAAACTGCTAAAAACACAGCCACGAATGATTTTCAGCAAACATTTGTTTTGGACGGCGCACTTGTGAACAATTAACACTTTACTTACACTTTTACAACGCAAAGACAAATTTAAAATATTTAAGCGACACGCACATTCGGTGAACAAAAGACGAAAGGAGGAGGAAAGCCCGAAGCAGCGCATCGAAGGCGCCGGAAGGCATCGATACTCGATACATCGATATTCAGAATGGAAAATCCTATCGTTTGCTATATGATATTTCAAAGTCGAAGTCGTGATACCAAAAATATTTGAACTTAAATGTATGCTCTATTGCTCCAGTTCAAAATATGGTATACTATTAAATAGGAGAAATTAAGCTACGGAAGTGTGGGTTTTTTTAGTTTTTACATAAATAATATATTATTAGTATAGATAAAAAGTGATTTCGCAATATCGTGTAAAAATGGTGACAACATTAACTCCCATCTCTTCAACCCGAACCAATTTGTCATCTCTATTCCACATACGAACTAAAATAACGGAATAATTCTCGCTCTCCTTTTACCCATCAAAAAACGAACACTTTCTGTCTCGTTTCGTCGGCAACATGAACACACTCCTGATCGAAGTTCTTGCCACCTCTTTCTTACACATCGCTTTTAAAGACGGTTTCTTTGCGGTTCCACACATACATTCATTTTGCCCCTTTTTTGAATAGGAAACACACACCAACCCATACAAAAATACAACGGCTCTGCTGACCGTTATGGCTTTGCAGATGGAAAATTCGAGAGAGAAATGGCAAAAAACGAACATAAATGCAACTTAATATTGTATTGCACAAATAAAATACCTGTAAATTGTTGACTGGTTTAAATAAAATTCAAGTGGAATTCTTCATAACGCATACATATGAATAAATATTTAAGAGGGAACATTACCTTTGGTCATGCAGCTGCAGAGCTTCGACTTTTCGAAGCAAAAAATTATTTATTGCAGTCGTGAAATCCTCTTCGAAACACATTTTGATCTCCATTTTCGTCTCTTTGGTTTAGTTATTTAATTTAGTCTCACACAAAAAATGTTTAAAAACGACGTGCACGACGAAACGAAAGAAATCTGCACAACAAAACAAGATGGCGGTTTAGTTTGACTAAAAGACACTAATTACGCGGCTAAAAATACAGCTACGAACTATTCTCGACAAACTTATATTAGACGGCGCACTTATGTACGCTTTGCAAACAATTAACACTTTTACTGCCTCTTTTACAACGCAAATACACAGTTTAAAATATTTAAGCGACGCGCACCGACAGAGAACACAAAACGAAAGGAGGAGGAGGAAAGCCCAAAGCAGCGCTGCGGCAGCGGCTACAATTTTGCGCGGCATCGATACTGGATACATCGATACTCAGAATAGAGAATCCTATCGCATATAGAATATTCGCGATCCAGAAAATTAGTTGAATTTAAATGGATGCCACTATTGAATCTAGTTCGAAATATTAAGTACATATTAAAATAGTCCTTTTAAATAGGAGAAGGTCCGGAACATATCAATTACCTTGTTCAAATTTAGCTACGGATTTGGGTAACATTTGAAGTTTTATACAAATTATATTTATAATAGGAGTGAACAATAAATAGTATGTCTTAGTTACCTAAAGAGCTTAGATCATTATATTATTATTAAAACCGTGAATTAGCTAAATATCGGCCACAACATTAGCTCCCATCACCGCACAATCCGAAAGGATTTGCCATCACTGTTCCACATACGAACTAACATAACGGAATAATTTTTGTCTTTTCCTTTTACCCATTGCCAACGAACTCTTGCCGTCTCTTTTCACCAAGAACACGCACACACCCACACACACACACGCTCATGATCAGAAGCGCAGGAATTGGAACCAGAGCCGATGCACTCTCCGGTTTATCCTATTATCCACATTATCCTATTTTATTACAATTTTAAAATATTTTATCTGTTTCCATTTCCATTTGATATTCGGCTACATATGTCTCTTTCTCTCTCTCTCACGCCCACACGCAGTTTTAGCTCACTCTCCGCCAAAGAGCGCGCACAATGCAAACAGCTGCCAGAGGTAGAGGGAGAATGAGTAAGTGTGGAAGGGGTAGCTGGAACAACTGCAAATTTCTTCCTTTTGGCTATAATTATATAATTAATAATTGGGCATTCTGATAGATATGGTTATTCTCTACGATACTGCGTTTTCCGTGGCTGCCACAGATTTTCGTTCTTTGTTGCAGGCGGAAGCGCACCGTGCGAAATTTTGAAATTCACTTGTAACAGTGTAACAGCGCTAATCAAGACTGACGGATTTGATAATATTGATATTGAATCGGCTATTGATACTGATCAAGAATATACTCACAATGCAAGTGCGCTTCTAAGCTGAGCTAAAAGCTCGACCATTGATCAAGCAGGTTTGTTTTTATCTGCAAGCTGATTCAGCTTCGCTTTTAGCTGTGTGTGTGCTCGAGCCCTTAGTTCTTTGCGTACCAGGTATTAAACCACACCAGACCGGACAAACATACTCTGAAAACTGAAACTGAGAGCACTCCCAGTCCCAATCTTTGTGTATACATCAATCTTTTATTACGATTACAAAACGTTCTACTTGTCGTGGCATTAAAATACAAAATTTGTATCCTTAAACTAAACATTTCTTATGCAAATTGCATACAAAATAGACAGACAAGACGGTTAAAAATGCGAGATTCCAACATTGAGCTTAGGAAATACGGAATGTCATGTGCGCTATAAAAGATGGACGGAAACGAGTTCCCAGTTTTAAGATAGTTTGATTCGAGTCACTTGAAGAAGGCACTTTAAAGATTACACATTAGTTTTGGCTACGGCTACGGCTATGCGGGGGGCTATTGCCTCAAGAGATGCGCCACGAGGACGGCGAACAAGGTGCCGCCCAGGACGCTGGCCAGTCCGAGGCGTGGCAGGCCTGCGCCGTTGCAGCCGTCCTTGCTGTTGCAGGTGCAGTACTCCATGAAGATGTTGTAGCTGCCCGTGCGCATGAGGCAGTAGCGCTCGTCGCCCTCGATGCCCGGCTCGCCCATGTAGGCACAGCTGCGGAAGTAACGCCACTCGCCGTGCACCTTCTGGCGGATCTTGCGACACATCGTGGGCCGCACCCCCTTCAGGTGCTCCAGCTCCGGCGCCTGCTGGCAGTCCGTGATGGCCAGGGTGCTATTGTCGAAGGGATCGCCACACTTGGGATCGCTGTCGCTGCGGCAGTCCCAGCACTTGATGGCCTGGGCTAAATCACATGAGTAGAATTTTTATGGCATTAACATTTCATTTACGCAGACGCAGGTGACTCCGCTCCCGTGTGACTCCACTTACCCGTCTGCAGCAGGCAGCCAAGCAGCACAGCACCCAGAACGCATTTCTCAAAGGTTTTCATGTTGAATGGTCTAGTATTTCTGATTGTTTCACTACTAGTTTGGAGCCTCGGTAAACAATTAAATTAAGGAAAACAAAATGCGAACACCGCCCAAAAAAATGCTGGCTGGTATCGATAGTTTTCGTGCTCCTATCGATGGCTGTCTTGGCATGTTTCTTATTTAAGCAAGCTGGCAGCACTATGCATGTAAAATACCAAACTCGTTTTAGTATTATGGTATTTGGGTCCCAAGCTATCATTCCCCAATTGTTTTATATTTTTTTTGGTTTCTTCTGATAGGGCTAACTAGCTAGTAATATTAAACAGAATATCAAAGTCAAGGAATATCAACGCAGTACATTTACGGTATAATTTGATTACAAGGTATATTTTGGTATATTTCTGAGGGTCAGGCGGTATATTTGATCGCTAAGCCCGCGGTCACACTGGCCTACATTGCTGTTTTGAATTTTTATTTTGCTTAAAGCCCATTTTAGCCAAGTTAATTGAAGCGCACAAAACCAACAGAAGCACAACCATGTCCACACTAACACGCTGTGCATTTATATTGCTCTCGCTGGCCGTGTGCGGTAGGTGGTTATGCAAAAAACCGATTGCCAAGTTCACAATCTCCGCTTAGGGTGTGGCTTGGCGCAAGTGTTTTGTTTAGTTAATTGAAATTAATAATTGTTTTTTGTTTTTTTTTTATTACAGGCAGCTGGGCCATACGCTGCTACCAGTGCTCCTCGGACCAGGAACGCAAGGGTCACGACAGCTGTGGCGCGTACAAAAGGTTTAATCACACCGAGCACATTGCCATCGAATGCAACAGCGACGAGAGCCACATGCCCGGCTCCTTCTGCATGAAGGTGGTGCAGCAGGGACCCAGAGGATTCATCTGTTAGCAGCTACACACATTGCCCGTTTTGCTTAATTCTTACAATTAATGTTTTGTTTTTCGTGTTCCCAGGGGACGGCCGCTGGCGTCAGGTGATACGTCGCTGTGCCTCTGTCTCGGACACGGGCGTCACGGGCGTCTGCAATTGGGGCGTCTACGAGAACGGCGTATACTGGGAGGAGTGCTATTGCTCCAACGACAGCTGCAATGCCGCCAGCCTGCTGCAAGTGCACGCATCGCTGCAGCTTTTGCTGGGCTTCCTGTTGATGGGCGCCGCTGCAAGGATTGTGCGCAGCTAAGAAGACGATACCCTACCCTGACACAAGAGACAGCAACCAGAAGTGCCTTTGCCATCTGCTCTCTTTTAATTAGTTGTTAAGCCAAGGATAACTTTTTTATTCCGTCCACTTTTGCATGTCCATTTAGCCTTAAGCTAGCTAAACACCAGCCTACAAATCGAAATATATACCATAGAGACCATTCAAAAGCGACCATCGGGCTGCGCCAAGGACTTGAGACCGGACGCGTTCCACTCGGCATGGGGATCCTTGGACGTGGCCACGTACACAAGGGTGGAGCCATCCTCGAACTCTTTCATGGCCGCATACGAGCGCCCCTCCTCCACCCAGACACGCTGTTCAGCGTCCATATCCTGGGCAATGGGCACCGAGCTGTTGCCGTACTGCAGCAAAGGCCTCTATAATAAATAACAATCCGCCATGGCGTGTGGCTGATACCTACCCACTTCTCGTACAATTCCTGCGGTTGATTTTTCTGCGTCCAGCGCAGCGCCTTCAAATAGAATGTCAGAAATTTGTGCACGTTCTCCTTGACCTCCGGCGAATCGGATTGATTCAGTTTGGCCAGATCTTCGAGCATGGTGCGGCAGCATTCCTTGTCCTTGGGCCTGAGCAGCGACTGGCATATGCCCTGAGCGACGCGACGCATCGACTCAAATTCCTCGTCCAGCAGCTCATTTAATTCGTTGGAGTGTTCGTTCTCCGCACTCTCAGCCTCGCGCGCCGGCTCCGGCTCCCGCTCCCGCTCCCACTCCTCCTGCTGCTGCATATCCGACTGTGGCGCCTTGCAACAATTCATATGGGGAATTTTGATAAGCAATAGGATTTAATAGTTGAATATTTTATGCGTGAATTTTTGTATTTTGAGTGTATTCGGTTTGCTAGTTAGTCAAAGGTAAATTATACAAAAATATATATTTTATAAAAACAAAAAATATATGAGGTTTTTTAATATAAATATTAATATATATATTATTATTATATATTAATATATTATTTAAATCAATTAATTATAATCATTAGTACAGAGTATTGTGGGGACCATTTGAATTTCCATTTCAGCGCACTAAATACCGCCCCTATAGCCATGAAACGCACTGTAAGTGTATAACAAATTTAAGCCAATGTTTTCTTTGTTTCTATAACATTTATTATTAATTTATTTTGATCTTGCCAGATGTTTTCTTTACAATATTTGCAATTTAACATTAACTTATGTTTATTTTTCAATTTAATTTATTTTTATTTTTCAATTGAATTTATTTTTATTTTGGTTTTTGTTTTGTTTTTTGTTTGTATGAACTGCATGAAGAGGAGAAATTGCGTTCCTGTTAACAGTTAATCAGTTTAAAATTGTACGCTAAAATTCCAATTTATATTTAATATATAGTATATAGTTAAATATGTATATGTATAATTATGTTTCTTGTACACTAAAATCGACTCTTTGCTATGCTTAGGTGCTATGTATTGTATCTGTAGAACATATGATAAAAACTAAATTCCCCTACAAAGCAAAGGAAAATATTTGTCCTATGAAATGAGTGCCAGTGATAACAAAGAAAATTGAATTAAATGTGTATGTATTTATTTGCTAGGTGCATGAGTGAAAATGAAAAATTTTGTATTAATGCCAAATCCCTGTGGGGGGGCCCTGGTTGGACTCTATGAGTCCGTCAGGCCGGCCAACATCTCATCTGGCTCGTCCTACTGTTTGTTCCACCACTCTATCCACACGATATACCTATATCAACCTTCTGGCGATCCGAACGAAGTGAAAAATATTTGCTCAATGTTTATTAGTTTTTTTTTTTTTGCCTGGGCGATCTGTTTCCGAAAACTATGAAGATTATGGATGATGCGGGGGGTGGCTGGGATAATGTGTGGGTGTATGTTTAAGAAGCCAAAACTCAAATGATTAAAAACACTTATGTAGTTTACGTTTATGCGGTGGCCCAGTGGAAGTTTCGTTCATATATTTTTGACTCTTAAAGAGTTCGAATTTTAAGTTTTTGGGGGAAATCTGTGACAAAATATAGAAGAAATCAGTTGAATATTCTTTTGGAATTTATTAAAATGCCTGAACGTTGATATGCAGTGACTGCAGCATCAAGTGGCCAAGCCGAAGCCTGTTATCCCAGGCAGAAACTTGAAAATTAGCTTAAAACTAAAATAACTAAGAGCTAAGCATAAATCTACATGAGTGGCTCTTAAGCTACGCTTTCTCTAACTAAAAGAGGGTTGTAGGCCTGCATGAGCAGATAACTGTAACTACCTCATACTCAGAGTTTGCAATGTACCCGCAAAATATTAAAAAAAAAATTCAAGTCTAGCGAAACTATAATTAAACTAAAGGAATATAACAGAATATAATAAAATAATAATATAAATAAATAATAATTAAAAAAAAAATTGCTGAATGAGTTGGATTAATGGTAAAATCTTTTTGGTTTGCTCCATAGAACATAGAACACAACAAAACTTTCTACAAATTTCTAAAAACTTTCTAAAATTTTGCTGTTTGCTGTAACTTGGATTGCTGCCGTGGCAGTATTAATTTACAATATTTTCCTATATTCGGTGGCTCCCAGAATTAAAATCAATGCAGAAACTCCACCGGACAATAGAAACTGGCAGAGCAAATTTCAGAGCACATGCCAGAGCATCTGGCAGAGCATACCGCAAAGCATCTCGCAGAGAATTCCGATAGTTGGTAAATGGTTGCCTATAAAATAAAATATAAAATAACATAACTAAACTAAAATCTAAATTAAAAATACTACAGTGGAATCTCAAATATTGGAACCAGTTTATTCTCATAGTTCCTGCGATACGTGTGGCCGCGCCCGTCGCGTACTTGTAGAAAAGATAAATATGAGATTAATAAACGAGGTTATTTATAACTAAACTGAACTAATAGAACTAAGCTTACATCCAAATTCCACACAAATTGGAACCACTTTGTGCCTCGAATTTTTTCTAATTTACTAAAAGTTTAATTTTTAGACTTATTTTGCACAGAAAATAATCAAATAAAATAATAAAATAAAAATAAATACAAATAGTTACGAAACTTGAGCCACCCACCCGTAGCCAAACAGGGGGGATCAACTCAACAGTTAAGTCGACTGCTCAATGTCGCTTGTATATAGAGAAACATGAGCTCAACTGACACACTTGTGTGCACACTGAGCAGCGAAGGTAAGAAAAATAGGAACACAGTCGAAGAAAATCAAAGAAAATTATAACTAAACTAAACAAAAAGAAAACAAACAAAAAAGTTAAACTTGTAATTTAAATATACTAATACTAATTACGGGTAAGGTAGGGTTAGTATTAGTATTTTAGGAATACTAATTACTAATACTAAATAAGGCAAGGTAGCTCAGTATTAGTATTTTAGGAATTGTTTAAACTTAAAGCCACAGATTTCCCTGCGCAACTTCAGTGTTGCCGCTCCACTTCCTTCCACCGCATAAACGCATTTAACATTTAAACAACTTTGACTGAGACAGAGACACACACACACACACACACACAAACATTATTTAAGACTAGTGTAAACATTAAGCTGCTTACTTTCGCTATTTTTGTTTGCTGTTTGCTCTAAGACAGTGTAAACGAAATCACATATAAAGCCGATTAAAAGACAGAGAGAGAGAGAGAGAGAGAGCGCGAGAGAGAGATGGGGAGAGAGAGATCACATCACACCACAATGGGGGTACGACCATCCAGAGTCTTGCTGTCCGTCAGATTCGATGACAATGAGCACGATGTGTTGTTCTCTTCGTCAATGAGATGCTGCGGCGGATTATGCAGCTGCACCTGCTCTGTGATCGTGCGCGATCTGTCACTGCAGCAGAGCAGCGGCGAGTCCAGGCATTGGGGCAGCAGCAGCAAGCCGCCGGGATGGGCGGGCGATGGCGTGTGTATGGCATACAGCGAGCTGCTCGATGTCGTACTGCAGCAGCAGCTGGAACGGGGCTGCAGCAGCTCCACATCCACGGGCGGCGTGGGACTATTTACCTGCGTCTCCACAGTCTCCTCCTCGCTGCTCGTCAGCTCGTTCAGCTGCGCCACCGTCTGATGGATGCGTATGTGCTCTGTGTCCCCTGGCCCAGCTCCAGTCCCATCCGTTTCATTCAGCTTGTAGTACAGCTGCAGACTGTCATCCAAAATGGGCGCAAAGAGGCGTCGAAACTGTCTAAGCAATTCCGCCTCCGTCTCCGTCTCCGCCTCCTGCTCCGCGCCTGGCTGCTCTCCCCCCGTCGTGTGCATTGTCATCTCTGGCATCTCTGGCTCCGTTTTTTGATAGAAACTAAAAGCAATTGCATCGTCTACGACTGTTGTTGTGCCCTGCTGGCCGCCGCCAACAACTTCCATTGAGCAATCTTTACCACTTCGTTGACCTCGTCAGACTTTGCCCTTGGGCGATTTGCATTTCGTTGGCGTGGCCCTGCAAACATTTCAATGATTGAATGAACCCGTCGTTTGAAGCTTGCCACTACTTATACTTACCCGCTGCTGGCCTCATCTTTGCCCGTTTGGGTCTGTGCTGTGGACACCGTGTTCTTGCTGTAGGGCGCCTGGAACGAGGTCGATGTGATGGTAAAATAACCACCCGGTTTCGGTTTCAAGTGCCTGTTGTTCATCTGCATGTGCACCGTCTTCATGAACTCAATTTGATGGGCCAACTTTTGGATTTGTTCCTAAATAAAAATAAAATAAATTAAATAATTTTTCTAAGTGAAAATCCCTTCGGTAATGCTTTGATTATCTCTCACCTTAAGCTCTTCATTCTCCTGATACAAATCGGGCGACTCTTCTGCCACCAGACCGACGCCATTCAGCGAGAACGAAGCTGTTATGCTCCTCACCTTCGCCTTCTGATCCCACTTGTCGCCCTGTCCCTTGAACACGCGCAGGATTTTTGGCCCAAAGACCAGCGCAATGGTTGTGGTGGTCGACAATTGGGTGCGCACAAAGCCCAGCATGTACTTGTAGTCGGGTCCAGCTTGGGGAAAGAGCATCACGCTGTTTTGGGGGGAGGGCGGCACAAAATAATCTCTGTTATATAATTTTGGTTACACGAACGTGGGAACTTATCAATGTATTTTTATATGTATAAAATTATAAATTATTATAAAATTATGACTCAAACGTCACTGCTTCTAATAACAATACGCGGCGGCTGACAGCGCTCTGGGACAGCGATGCAAGCGCGAAATATTCAGCCGCACAGGCACTCTGCTTTTGCCCCATAGAGAGCCCAACAGTTGGTTGAATTTCAATTAGCTGGCGGCAGGCAGCCTAGCAACAGTTTAAGAGCATCCTAAAGCACTCAATTTAAATTGAATTCTCACGTTTTTCACACCTAACATTCACAGTTCAAGCGGTTCTGAATGATTTCCTGCATTTCCCTTTGATTAGGGGCAGCCAATCCAACACTCACTCTAAACAATCCCCAGCCAAAGCTGCCCCACCTACGTGGCTCTAAAAGTTTGCCAACAAATTGCATTAATTATCAAAAAAAAAAAGAGTTCCTTCAAAAAGGATTTCTATGTGGGGCATGGCAGGGCAGGGCGCACACACACGAACCCAGAAACCCCAGAAACCCAGTAAAACCCGCAGACAACTTTGAAGCGAAAGATGGGAACCAGGAATGTCTATGCAAACAAAGCGTGGCAGATACAGACAGACAGAGGGACAGAGAAACATAGAGAGAGACAGAAAGACAGACAGAGGGACTGACAGTCAGACAGAGGGACTGACAGTCAGACAGAGAAACAGAGAGACAGACAGACATTTGGAGAGGCTGTGGTGGCAGGCCAACAAAAAGGATTACAACGCGAGCGAGCGAACACGAGCGCGCACAAAGCAAAGGAATTTAATTAAAAGGGCTAACCAATGGCTGGATGGTTGGTTGGTTGGTTGGCTGGAGTGCCCGACGAGCAGGGTGTACGGTAAGCTTTACATTTAGCCCTAATGGGTATGGCGCGTGCCGCAGCATGTTGGATTACACAGCAGCCATGTGTCAACTGTTATAATTCAATTGTATGGCACAGAACAGCACTGGGTGGAGGGGGGCATGCATCAGGTAAAGATTGTTGCTGCCCAACTTACTGGAATACCACCATGGCTATGTTGACCAGGGCTATGTTGTAGATGGCATACGAGATGAGCTTGGCCTCGTTGTAGAGACTCTCCGCGTTGCGCACATTGTAGCAGACGCGTATGCCCCAGGCCAGGAAGAAGACCTCACCGATGGCCAGGCTGTGATCCCACCAGTTGTACGAGCACTGTTTGAATTTCAGATGATGCTTGTCGTAGATCTACAAAGATATTAAATGTTTTTAATAGATTTATCTGCAGCGCAGCACATTTTCCGGATATCGCTCACTTACCACCTCCGCATAGGGCGTGGCCGAAATGGTCCATGTACCCAAATAAATCAACATGACCAACAGAATGGGCACCATCCATTGCAGCAGTTGTTGATCGTTCAGTTTGATTTTGTGTGCCGACTTGACGCGATACGTCAAGGAGACTCTGTGGGATAGGGTGATGGGGTATTTATTATTAGTTAATTATTAGCTAATTAGTTAAAATATTCCACTTACCGCCATGTTTTCATCAACAGCGATGTGTAGGTGATGCAGAAGCCCATGTGACGCGACCATTTGGTTACAATGCACCAGCTGGTGTCCAGATACGGGAATATAGCCACCATCTGCAATAAATGAGGCAGTCAGATAAGTGTTCGAGGATAAAAGTAAATTTAAAAAGAGAAGGAACGTGTGAGTCGCTACTGGGGACGCGACTCTACTTTTCTATCCGTGCGCAGTCAGTATTAAAGGAAGGGGGCAGGGCAAAATTTTGAATTTCTTATAGTCTCTTAGATCTAGGCGCTCATCGAGACGGACAGACGGATCAAGAATACATATATATACTTTATGGGTTCGCAAACGTTTCCTTCTCTGCGTTGCACACATCCACTTTTACCACAAATCGAATAAACCCCTTAACTCTTTTTGAGTGCGGGTATAATAAATATATATTGGATAAGTCTTGCGTTTTATTCCGTTCTGCGCATAGGACAAATAAAATTCGACTATTCAAGACTTTGCAGTTTCATTTACTGGCTTCTTGACACGCCGCTTGTTAGCATCAGCCGCAGCATCACCACTGCTGGCGCCCTCCTCCATGGCCAGTGCCGTGCGGCTATCCACTCTGGAGATTACAGCCATGCCGCCAGGCGTTATGCACTGCGCACAGTTCTCCATGCCGGGCGTGTACTCCTCGATCTGTATGGTTGTCTCAAAGAAGCGGTAATGCTTGTGGATCATGGTGGTCGCCTCTTCGAGGATGCGCTGTGAATCGGCATCCTGCTTAATGGCCAAATGGGCGGACAGCGCCACCTTATTGATGCTCAGCGCCCAGATGCGCAGATTGTGCACATGCTCGACCCCTTCGATTGCGAGAAACTTGCGCTGCACCTCCTCGTAGTCCATGTAGTCGGGCGTGGCCTCCATCAGGACCATCAGCACATCCCTCAGGATGCGAAACGTGACCAGCAGCACAATAATGGAGAACAGAAACGTGCAAATGGCGTCGACAAATGCCCAAGCGGGCTGAAAGAAGATGATCAGAGCGGCCACAAAGACGCCCACACTCTGGATCATATCCCCAATGACATGGATCATGGCAGCGCGCACATTGATGTTCTCCGCGGCTGGATGGGCCGACACTGAAGCTTCCATCAGCTGCAGCTCATGGGAGTGGCCGTGCGCGACACGCGTCTGACGACTCATCTCGCCAGGCTCGTAATGGGACTGGCCGTGTCCGTGATTGAGCTGAATGGCCATAATCACATTGAACAGTATGGCCACAGCGGATGTGATGAGCATTATTTCGGCATCCACCACATGCTCACCCGCCCACAGGCGCTGTGCGGCCAGCCAGACCAGGATGCCTGCCGACATAAAGAGCAATTTAGAGATTGGGTTTTGGCATTACGCACAAAAGAGCTGCAACGTCACCTGTTATCACCCAAATGAAGTACACGGATATCATGGCGCCAATTACCTCGGCGCGGTACCAGCCAAAGTTCAGGCGCTGCGTCTTTGGCCTGGCACTGATGTACAGGGCAAACAATGAGATGAGAAAACCCGCCAGATCCGTCAGCAGATGCGCAGCGTCTGTGGCTATCGCCAGGCTATTGGACAGAATGCCACCGATCACTTCGGCGATCATAAACACCAGACAGAGCCCGCAGGCAATGAGCAGTTTCCGCCGTGCCGGCTTATCGATGCCCTCGTGCTGCGCCTCAAGGTGGCAATGATCCCGCCACTGCGTCTTGATGTGCGTGCGTCCGGTGATGGTCAACGTACGCATCGACTCCGAACGCATCAGCGAGCTCTTGCTCTCCAACGGGGGCTGCTGCTGCTCCTCCTCCTCTGCTGCATCGTTGGCGGGTTTGTCCTTGAACTTGACATCGTTGGGATCCACTGAAGAAGCAGGCGGCGGCGGTGCCGGTGGCGTTGGCGATTTTGGCGGTATCGCTGGGCTCTCGGCACTCCCTTCATCAACTGTAGCTGGAGGAGCAGGAGCAGCAGCAGCAGGAGCAGCAGCAACAGCAGTAGCAGCAGCAGCAGCAGCAGCAGCACGAGCAGCAGTAGCAGCAGCAGTAGCAGGAGCAGCAGCAGTAGCAGCAAGAGGAGCAGCAGCAGCAGCAGGAGCAGCAGGAGCAGCACGAGCAGCACGAGCAGCACGAGCAGCAGCAGCACGAGCAGCAGCAGCAGCAGGAGCAGTAGCAGCAGCAGCACGAGCAGCAGCAGGAGCAGCAACAGCAGCAGCAGCAGGAACAGCACGAGCAGCAGCAGGAGCAGGAGCAGGAGCAGGAGCAGCAGGAGCAGCAGCAGGAGCAGCAGCAGCAGCAGGAGCAGCAGCAGGAGCAGCAGCAGGAGCAGCAGCAGGAGCAGCAGCAGAGCAGCAGCAGGAGCAGCAGCAGGAGCAGCAGCAGGAGCAGCAGCAGGAGCAGCAGCAGCAGCAGGAGCAGCAGCAGGAGCAGCAGCAGCGAGCAGCAGGAGCAGCAGCAGCAGCAGGAGCAGCAGCAGCAGGAGCAGGAGCAGCAAGAGGAGTACCAGCAGCAGAAACAGCAGCAGGAGCAGCAGCAGGAGCAGGAGCAGCAGCAGGAGCAGCAGCAGGAGCAGCAGCAGCAACAGGAGCAGCAGCAGCAGCAGCAGCAGCAGTAGCAGCAGCAGGAGCAGCAGCAGCAGGAGCAGGAGCAGCAGAGGAGCAGCAGCAGCAGAAACAGCAGCAGGAGCAGCAGCAGTAGCTGTCGTCTCTTCTACGTCGACGGAGGCTGCTGCCGATTTATCTACAACTTGCGATGCAGCAATCACCGAACCATTTGCTAGGGGCTGCTGAAATGGCAACGCCAGCACGTTGATTAGCACCATGCCCGAGTCCACCGCTGGGACAGCAAACGCCTCGCTTTTCGCCTCCACAGCGTCGAGAGTTTGTGTGCTGGCAGCTGACTTTGGCTTTTTGTACGACTTGGGATTGGAGGCCGCCTCAATTCGTTCCAATTTACCTTCCAGTTCCGCCGTGATGCGCTCCAGCCCAATGCTGCTTGATAGCCGCGGCACGACCAGCTCTTGGGGTTCCGTCACATGCAAATAGTTTAAAAATCCCCGCTCCGATATTCTGCTGGATTGGTGCAGCATCTGCGCGTCCAGATCCTCTGAGGACGTTTTGGGCGTCAGCTTAAACACCTGCGAGGAACTTCGCTCAGCCGGCAGATCTTCGCTCTGGAGCTGCTCATCCCGACTGGCGAAATTGCTTTCAGTTTGCAGCTGCATCAAGGAGCCTGGTTCCACAAAGGTCACAGACTTTGATGCGATATTTTTGGTGTGCAGCAGCTCCTTTTCCGTCTCGCTCGAGGTTTTTTCTTTCCGCCTTTCCTTCGCTTGCTCATTTCTGAGCTCCTTTGACCAGGTTACCTCTGGCTGCAGCCCAGCACCATGCCCACCACTGTTGTCAATCGATTCGCTGGATGTTTGCTGTGCCTCCTGCGGCCTTTTTGTTGGTTTCTGGGTTGCGTTGAGGTCCGCATACCAGCTCTTCAGCGACTCTCTGAGCTCCGTGGACCAATTCTTTTTCGGATCCAGCACCGAAACCTTTTCTGTGGCTTCCATTTTTTCCACGGCTATTTCTGGCGGCTTTCTCTCCTTTTGACTGGCTCTCTGGGGGGACGCCTTCTGCAGCTCCGCGGACCAAGTTCGCTCCGCCGCCATGCAAAATTTCGTTGGCTGTGGCATGCCCGCCATTATCGCGTCCTGCGAATCACAGTCTGGAATATCGACCGTAAGTTTCAGGGCCGCCTGCAAGGCGTCCTCATCCTCATCTTCGGCCTCGCAGTCGGAGCTGCGTGCCGCCAGTTCTTCGTCACGTTTTTGCGCACGTTTCTGGTTGCTTCTCATAGTTTGACTGCCGTTCAGTAATTTGTTTTTCCAGTTGCTTTCAACACTTTGATTAGAAAATCAGTTACGATTTACATTTGGTTCATTTTAACAATCGCTTCTGGGCTCTTTATTTGCAGCCTCTTAACCCATTTGCTTGCCAGGCGCTGCTTGTCCTTTGTTAAGGGCTGCCATTGTGGCAGGCCTTTTATGCGTCCACTGGGCGGGCAAGGCGGGGCGGGACGAGGCGCTTTGGCTTGCATTGTGGCCTGCTAATGTTTACAACAAAATTGCCATCAAGGGGTAATTGTATAGAAGGTTGGCACAGGTCGAATGTGCTGTGCTCTTTCCCCGGGCAAATATTAGCTAAATAAAATATATATTTTTTTTCTGCTTTACTTCGACTAGTGCCAGGCCTGTGGATTTATATTTAAATAGGCTACAAAAGCAATGGTTTGTAGAGCAGCCGATCTCTAGACAGATTTCCTTGATCTCTCAGCTCGAAATTCTTCTGTTACTTGCCACCAATTGCCCCTAGAAATCGCGTGTACCCTTTCTGTTAGTCAGTGCCTAAAAGCCGCATTTAAAAACACATAAGAAGTCGCTTAATGTTGCGGTTGGCTTCCAGAATCCAGCTACCTGCCATTACGGCCAAAAAGTAGCAGCAGAAGTAAAACCCGTCCGTCTCACATGTGGGTTAATTATGAATGAGCGCGCCCCCAAAAAGGGGAGCCAGTCAGAGTCAAGTCAACATTGTTTCCAAATGGTCTTTGTGTGTTTGTGTTGTGTTGTGGTGGGGGGTTTTTAATGGGTTTTAAGTGTTGACCTAAAACTCACCTCCAGATACATGATGGCGCAGCCAATGAGTGTGATCATCAGGAAGATGGGACTGGCCACCTTAAAGACTTTGACGCGACGATGCAGGAAAAGATAGCCGGCCAGGACAAAGGTGCCGCAGGCACAGCCAATGGATATGGTCAACAATGATATTCTAAAGAGTCAGAGAGAGAGAGAGAGAGAGGGAGTGGGTGAGAGATGGAGAGGCATATTGACATGAGGAGAAGTGACACTTGTCGCTGTGCAAACACACTCGAAGTCGCAGCTCGCAGCTCGCACCTGAAAGGCCAATGATAGTTGGCCAGACACGGCTCCGGACCGGTGCACATGTCACAGCCGGGTGCACATGGCAAACACTTGAAGACATCCGTATAGTAATTGCTTATATTGTCCTGATGCTCCTGCCAGGCAATCTCCATGATGGTGCCATTGAAGCCATCCGGATGCCGCAACGAATAATAGCCGCGCTTGCACAGGCACTGGTACGAGCCACGGGACCAGCTGCTGCTGGTCAGTGCGTTCAGTATCTTGCCGCTGCTTATTGTCGGTGCCTCCGCACTGGGCTGACGATAGTCACACTGCAAACATAAGTTTAGTGTGCGCATGCAACACAATCAATTAAGCCCACTTACCACCATTGAGCTGCGATGACACTTGTGTGAGCTGTGAAAGGCTTGCAAATCGTTGATCGTAGCCTCATCGTTGAGGGTTGCCGACGCCGCCGCCGACCCGGCCGTCTTGCTGGCCAGTCGCGGATAACGCCGCATGGTCGGGTGCTGCTGCTTGCGACTGCCAAAGTGATACGGCTGCGCCTCGCATTGATTGACACGCAGCGACGTTACATCAATGTCAATGCTGATGAAGCCGCGCAATCCATGCCGGCCACTGGGCGGTATCGCGATGCTATACGACACCAGCCACTTGCTGAGGGCGCACGAGAAGTACGGGTATGTCCACCAGCCTTTATAGTAGTTGCTCGGTGGGCTGGGCGCGAATTTCGGTGAGCGGAGGGTGGGTGTGCTCGTCTCGTCGTCGAACCTAGGCGCCCCCACAAAAAGCATACAGAATGGGATCATAAATGTTCATGCCATGTGGCTGGGGGTCCACATACCAGGGATAATTGTTGGCCGGCTTTTTGCCAATTTGCAGTCCCTCCTCATCGTAGCGCTGTGTCTCGCCGCTGACTTTGTCCTGATTGCTCTTCACCCACCACACATACGACTGCACCGCGCCGTTTGTGAGGTTCAAAGCCAAAATGCGTGCGCCGGTTATAAAGTCATCAGTGAGCAGGCCATTGGCCAAGGCATCCGAGAGTCCTGCATATATACACATATATATATATATATATATAGAGAAAGGAAATGAAGATCTGGGTCAGTCACATGGGTTGTGTTTGCAAGTGAAAAGTTATTTCAATAATTGCTATGCAAGTGGCGGGAAGAGATTACCATTTCCCCGGCGGAAATTAAACGGGGAAACTCCCAGACGAGACGGAGGCAAAGTGATTACAATTTTCACTTACATTTCCCAGCCCCCTCCGAAAAACGAAATGTCACTGCCTGCACTTAATTGCTGATTACGCCACGCACAAATTACTCAACTTTAATTATTTATGGGCGCCGCGAAAGTTTCGATGCCAAGCGATGCCACCACGCATCGAGTAGGCATCGATCACGAGTGCCCAGCCCTGGTAATTGCATCTCAATCGTTGATTGCACTACAACAATTGCATTGCCGTGGTATTCCGCCTTTATTACATCGTATTGCACTTTTCAATTTAAAATTAATTTTATCATTTTACATTTCGCAATGAGCGCTTTTTGCAGTGGAGAGCTGCCAACTTGCTGCAAAGTAATCGATGCCAGGACATATGTACATATATGTTACATACAGTCGTATACGTAAATATGATTTATAATATACGATTCAAGAGACTATTCCATTTTTCATTTAAAATTAAATTTATCATTTCACGGTATAGACGCTGTAATTGCTCGGAATTTCGTTGAGCTCTGCCAATTTGCTGGTACTTGCAGGCGATATTTGGCTACATGTAAAATATACAGACATGTGTGTATGTAAATGTATGTGTATATCAATATATATACGCAGCTGAAAGACTTTCAGTGCAAAATTTTAAATATTTTTATGTTTGTCGGAGAAAAGTATCGAAATGCATTTAATTATTTTTTGTTTGTTCAGGTAGATGTATTTTATGCAGGTAATAAATAACGTCACAGCTGCGATAGTTGTGTGGGAACAGCTGCGAACACGCAATTAAAAGTACTTCAAAATCACTTTCGCGAGTACCGCTATTTTATTCAGTGAACATTTGGTCAGCAAAATCTGAAACGGTAATTTGCTAATGAGTTATGGCAGGCCAGGCTTTTGCAGTGTGGCATTGTTGTTATCTGATTGCTTTGTGGTGGGAATGTGGGAATGCAACTCTAGCCGTTTAACTCTGGACATCTGTTACTGTTATTGCAACCTTGGAACAGGCATTAAAAGCCGCAGCAGGCTGGGCTGGGTGCTGCTGCTATGTTTCCTCTGATGCTGCTGGTTTCGGCCTTGGCAAAAGTGTCAACCCAAGAACAATGATTAATATGCGCGTCAGGCCAGCAGAAAGCCAGCCCTTTCCCTCCAGCTCTTCACGGGCTCAATGTCGCTGTCTCTTTCTGTGTGTGTGTGTGTGTGTGTGTCGTGTGTGGGCGGTGACTGTCAAAAGCTAATATTTTTCCCACACTTGGAAGGGTATGTTAAATAGCAGGTAAGGCAATGGGTACCGTTCTACAGATATTTTTTAATGCAAAATCTACAATGAACAACAAAAATAACATAAAAAACACAAACCCAAAAGCTCAATGTGTGGTAAGACCGCACAGGCCCTTACCTTCCGTTTAATATGCCTTGCGCCAGCCTGCCTTTTGCTTTCTGTTTGACTTTCAAACCAGAGAAAGGGAGACAGAAAGAATGAGAGCACGTGGCAGGGCGAAGAGCGCGAAACGAGAATTGTTTACAAAGTAAACTTATTTAAATTCGATTACCGCAACTTCCGTGGCACTTTCCTTATTTTTATGTTTTAGTGTGTGTGTACAGAACTTGCTGCTTTTGATGCCCGTTCTTGTTGGCTACATCTGTGAAACTTCTCTGTTCCCTCAGCAAGAAAAGGGCCATATAAACCGTGTGCACGTGCATTTTTTTTGCAGTTCGTAAACTTTTCAGAAGTGAGGGAGTGGAGTTGTGAAAGAGAGGATATGCGTACACACATACATACATACATTTGTACTCAGTATGACGTCTGCAGCTTAAGCATCTGCGTGAGTAGATTTATGCCTCTCTCAGTTCTCTTGCACAACTGAATTGTTTTGATTTCGGTAAAAGTGCATATAAAAGTGTGATTTTTCATACAAATTATTTTCGCTAAACAACTAATCAACTATTCACATGATCTGGATCCAGGAAAAGTTACAGTGTGTTAGCTAAGTGATAGTGGCAGGCCAAAGACAATAATATAATAATAAATAAATAAATTAGATAAATATAATAATTATTATTAATTTTGATTAATTATAATAATTATTATTATTTATTTATTATTTATTGTTATTATTTATTATTATTCTATTAAAAGGCATCTCCGTGGAGCTGATTCTGTGTTTTTTTTTAAGAACCACCGCTGTGCACACCAGACATCCTTGCTTACATCTTAGTCCCTGACTAACCTTGATTTAGTGCTTCCCATTTCCCATAGATTTTTTTTTAGATATCAAAATCTATAAATTCTTGGCAACATTCTAGCCTTGACTCTATAGTCTGACAAAACTGATTCGCTTTCGGCTTACTACTGACATTTCACGGAATTTAAATAAATCCACAAACAAATCTAACAAAAATTGAAGTTTTCGTTTCGAAGTTCGGCATTTCGTTCACTTAAAGTACGAACAGTTTTTTCGCCAAAGATGTCCGACTATGGGAACGTGTCTGGCACCGGCAGCGATAAGGAGCTGCAGGATTTCCTGGAGCTTGAGAAACAGAAGGCCCAGGTGAATGCACAGCTGCACGAGTTCAATGAGATCTGCTGGGAGAAGTGCATCATGGGAAAGCCCAGCACCAAGCTGGACCAGGCCACAGAGCGGTGCCTGAGCAACTGCGTGGACCGCTTCATCGACACATCGGTGCTGATCACAAAGCGATTCGCTGAAATTCTCAACAAGCGCAGTGGGTTAGACAGTGACTAAGATGTCAGCCGGTCCGTGGATAACACATAACACAATGTCCCGGTTGCAAAGGAGAGGAAGGAAGGAAGGAGGAGACGGGCCAGGCAACACAGCTTCAGTTTACTGCATAAATAAATCCGTATTTTTTGGCCTTAAGCCATTCTGAACCAAATCTGAATATTCTAAAATATCTTAAGGGGTTTATTTAGACTCTTTTGCATAATTAATTTGCGTATTACGTACACTACTCCGTACACTATTGTTGGGGGACTCTCTTCGTCCTTCATATATTTCGGTTTATTACCAGTATGTAGATTTTGAAGGCATGCAAATTTATGGAGTGGGAAAAAGTCTTACGAAATAAAAAAAAAATAATATATTTTTGCTTTGTTCTTTAGTATATCAAGCGGATTGCTTCGGCTTACTACCAGTGCACAATTTATAGAACCTCTGATCAAAAATATTAAATTTATTTTTGTCGAAACTTTGCACAGATTCTGCAAAGTGTCAGCTATTTTTGCTGAAAAATCTACTCGCTACAAATTACAGTCTTGATACACTCGACCCTCTTTGTTTCAGTAGATTATAATCTATATGTATATGTGGGTATTCGTTTTTGTGATTGACGCTGTCACTTTTGGACCCCCATCTATGACTTTGCCCTTAGCTCAATGTCTGTGCCAACTGATGGCACGCAGCACAGCTGTTACAGCAACAAATCGTTGATGGTAAACAACATTACGCAATGGCTGTCAGCCGGGTTACATCCCGAGAGAAGGTAACACACGGCACGGCACACAGTACAGTGGATACTGGGAATGATGTGCTTATGTTTGTGTCAGTTGCTCATTCATCATCTGCTGCGCCATTTGGATTTCGTACTCACTTGTATTCCATCATCAATCTTATGCTTTGCATTTTTTTTCTGTTGGCTATTTCTAGAATTTATTGCCGCTATGTTGGATGTTTTTCTGCTACCCTTCCCCCACACCCCCACCCCTGGCCGTTGCCAAAAGGTGTGAAAGTATAAACATTTTCAACTTTCCAACCAATTGTTGTAGCCATTTTGTTTGTGTGTGTGTGTGTGGCTGTCAGCGCTCAAACAAAAAGTTCCTATACGGATATATGTACGGTAGAGAGTGTGTGTAAAATTGGCAATTATTCAAGCAACAGTCAGACATGTTTTTTGCCCGTCTTTTTGTGGGGTTTCGAAGGTATTTTGTTGCTGTCAGGTGTGTTGTTCTTTTGTTTTTCTCCCTGCAGGAATAATTAAATTTTCCTCAGTTTCGGTTTTGTCTGAGATGAGACTCTTGGGAGCTATGTACACCTTTGGGGTCATCACTTTTGGAATGGAATTAAGACTTTGCTGTGGGAATCTCCTACAATTAAGTGTGCACGTTGTGGCATTGGAATTGAAAATAATTTTGAAGAGTGTGATATGTGGAACTTGGGAAAATGTAGTTGGAAAATCATGGGAATTTTCTGATTATTGTAAACTGATTTAATTTCTATCTTATTCTTTCTTCTTTTTTCTTTTTATTTCAAAATTTTTTAATTGAATGGAAATTAAGTTGGAAAATCATGGGAAGTCTTGAGACGGTTTGAACTTGAATTTTTCTGATTTTTTTAAAAACTGTTTTCATTTCTATCTTTTTCCCTCTTTTTATTTAAAGAAATTATTGAATGGAAATGAGGATGGAAAATCATGGACTTCCCATGTGACAGTTTCCAATTAAAGGTTTCCGATTTTTTAAACGTTTTTCATTATTTTGCATTGTTTTCTTTTTTGTTTTTAAGTTGGGTACATGAAAGAAGTTGAAGATAATACACTTAAAGTTTAAGGAAAGGGTATTAAATCGGCTTTAAAATATTATAAAAATTTTAGATAAATGAATTGTTGCTCAATAAGTACTGGAAACCATTCTGACATAATTAAATTGAAGCCTTAAATTTCGCCAAGCCATTTCCGGTGCACTTAATTTTCATTTAAGCCTAAAAGCAGGCAAAGGTTTTGCCACTTAAGCCTCCACTCTGCACTTCTCATATTTTTCAGTTAAAGGCAGTTAAAAGACCCCTTTGAGAGTGACTGCTGGCTGTTGCTTCCGTTGCCTGCTGCTGCCTGCTTTAGTTTGCTGCCACTTTTAAATTGGCTTAAATTTATTCGATTTGTGAGGCACTTTATAGAAATAATTTATGCGTGGCATCAGAATTTCAAGAGTCAACAGCTCAAAGCGAAGGACCCCAAAGGACCAAAGGGAGAGCGAAAGAGAGGCAGGATAGCGACAAGTGCCCAAAAAAAAATTGTATACAAATGGCCTGCCTCCTGTTGCTGCCAGAGCTCAACAGGATGATGGAACAATAAGCAACAACAGCAACAAAAGCCAGCAAATTTGCTTTCGCTTTATGCGATTTTCGCTGACACGTCTCACCTTTCTGGGCACGGACATACCATACTGCCACACGGCGAGCGAGCGAGCGAGAAAGAGTGAGTGATGGCAACACAGAGAACGCAGCATAGAGAGACTTTTGGTGGAGGTCATGAAATCATGGCCATAATGGCAACTTGTGCGCTTCAGCACTCCCAGTCAGAGGCTGCTGCCAGTTGCTTCCAGTCAGAGGCTGCTGCCAGTTGCTCCCAGTCAGATGCTGCTGCCAGTTGCTCCCCTGATTATCCCAAAAACCGAGCCAAAAGCTCCAAGAGTGAAACCGAGCGATGGGGTTCATTGTGCGTTTTGTGCTCAGCGCTGTCCTTGACTATTCACGACCAGCTGATAGTATTATACACTCCTCAAATAATTGGGTACCCTAAATCTTCAGGGATTAACTCTTTCGCTGGAATGCACAGGACTCCACTGGGTCCTGCATCATATTCGAAACTCATTTAAATTACAGTCTAAAAATCATTAGATATTTTTTTTCGTATTTGTTTTTTGTGCAGTGTATCCTACTGATGAGCATTGTCAAGGCTGCTGGGAATGGAATGAAAGGTCTTGTGTCCTGACAGCCGCGCGACAGCATTGGGGTTGACAAGGAACGACGCACTTGTGGCGCATCAAGCGAAGCCCAGACCCACACTTCCTACATATATACAATATGTACATATATATGTATATTTTATATATATTTTGTATATATTTGTATATGTCCCTTTTGTCGTTTTGTCGTTGTTAGCCCCCATGTTAATGCTGTAGATTTAATTTAAAGTTTCGCATTGTTCGTTGTGTCATTTGCCACATTGGGTCTTGTTCTCCACTGTGATTTACACACGCCCAACCACCCACCCCTCAGAGCTTTTACAGAAACATCAGCCAGAACAAATATATATATATATATAGGGGGGAGCAGCACCGAGCAGGAGCAGATCCAAGGACATCTACATATGACAGTCAGCACAAATATACACAACAAATTTACAAGCTTCAAGCGAGCGAGAGAGAGAGTAATGCTTAAATGGGTATCAGATTTCCACTTAAGGGATAATAAGAATTGTGCTTTGGTTCTGGGGCAGAATTGCTGTAATTATATTGAATGGTAAGCGAAAAGATATCAATTACATGTATTTATTTTTAATTTATTAATTGGTTTAATTATTTTCAGCATGCATAAATTGTGTAAAATATCAATGGTGTTGTCAGAAATATGTAGTTCCTGTCTATGTACAATATTTATCTCTATTTGTTTCATATTCAAGTGTAATCTAAGCTCCAGAATATTTTAGAATTAATTAATATGCTAAACAAATATTTTATACGATATTGTACATCGATTTAAATATACCTGATCGCATATCTGGGATTACTACGAACTACTAAGTGTTTTGAAATAATAATAATATATATATATTATATTTTATATATAATAAATTGTAGGAGAAAATTTCCCCAAGGTTTGCGCATTTTTACCAAACTTAAAAGCATTTAATATACCAGCTGATACTTTTTTTTTTAATTTATCGAACTCTATGGTAGAGTAGTAAAACAATTGTTTACCCGAAACGGAGCACCTGTTTAATTTCCCATTTACATAAATATTTACCACCATCCTGACATAAAATTATGTAAATTTCCTGCATACAGAAAGTAAGGCGTGAATCTGCATTATGAAACAGAAGCTCATACGATTTCATTTAAACTTTAACACCGAAATTTCAGCGAAATTTTCACACACAAAACTGGCGAAGAATTTATTTTTATTTCGCAACTGCCACAAAAAAGTGAAGCTATAAAAAAATGTACCCATATTGAACTAAAACTAAAAGGTGGAATGGAATAGAATGGTATGGAAATGGTAGTTGCGTTTTTCCCCCGTTTTCATATTCAATAACTCAGCTGCGAGCTGAATCCATATCGATACAGTTTAAGCAAACGCCCACGCCCACGCCCACACTCAAAGTGTCGCCTCACTCATGTGGGGGACACGCATATTGACTTTGCCCGAGCAGGAAATGACATTCTACTTGGGCAGCAGACCAAACACTTCACACCACCCCCTCCCCGCCCACGCACAAAAACAACATCAAAATCAATAATCGATGGAGGGGATAAAATATATATATATATATACATATATGGATATAAAATATGAAGGGGAACATTTCAGTGTGTGTGTGTTTTGTTTGAACTCACCGCCGTGTCGTATGATGCCAACTTCCTGGAGTATCGAGGCGGCCAAATCGGCCTTTTGTCTGGAGCTCTCGTATCGCTCCGAATTGATGGGCACTTGTAGGGGTCGATACAGCGTCGAGATGCATAAAGTGCCCAAATTTTCGGTGGCAATGTCGTGTATCGTCACCAGCGATTGTTCGATGGCCTCCTGTTAATGGGGTATAGAGAATCCGCTCATCATTATTATTATTATCTGACCACCCACCCACATCTCTCTCTATGTATTTAGCGGGCAACCCAAATCATTTTTTTTTTTTTTTTATTTAAATATTTTTTTTTTTTTGTTTTGTTTTGTTTTTGTTTTCTTGTGGCCTGTCGCTGACAAACGCATTAAAAATACATTTTGTGCTAAAAACAAAACAACAAAAAAAATATTCATGGAGCCTGGTACCATTATATCGTCATTTTAGGTTTTTAGACCCTTTTATCGTTTGAGTGGAAAATTAGGTTATTGGCTTTTTTGCCTTGCTCAAAATTTGTTGGTCTGTTCTACGCTTTCAACCAAAAAAGTTTTCATTGTTTTGACTTTAAATTGTTGAAGACAAAACAAAAGCACAAAATTAAACTGGAAACTTGGCTGGAACATTTCAAGTCGTAGATATTGTTTCGTGATTGTTTTGTCTGTAGATTTGAATGCCTGCGGTATAGAATTGTGACTCGCGGGGTTTGGTCAAGAGATATGCAAAATGAAGAGGAATATTTAATCTAATTTTTGTATGGAGCAAACTGTTCAACGGCGGCTGCTTGGGCGAACTTTCTTGTGTCTACATGTATAACCGAAAATTCCTTGGCTCTGCAATAACCATTTAACCTAATTAGCTACGCTCATTATGTGCACACAAGCCGCAGCTAAATTCACTAAAATTGTGTGCAAATTCTAATTAGAGTACAGTGCGGCATACAACTATGCGAAAAGTGAGCAGAAGAGTGGAATATTTTAATAAAAATGGAAGAGTACTTTTAATTAAAGTCTAAACTATTTAAAAAAAAAGTATAACTAATTTAATGAATGCGTTTGAGAGCTACATTTTTCAGTGGCTTAATTTTTGTGGAATGTCAAAACATGTTGGTGATATTTTCTACCCACTCAATGTGGATATTTTGCAATCGAACGCATTGACTGGCTGGCTGCCTTACGGGCCTGAATCGGACTGTATTTGACAGGCCAGAGTACCCACTGTTCGTTCGGCCCCATTGAGCATTCATTAAGTGCAAACTAAATAGCCACTCAGGACATTTCGGTACGGAATGTAGAAACTGAAGTGCAATTCGCGTCTGCAATTGCAATTGCAATTCAATTAAGTTGGCCTGGCCTGAGTGCGGAACACTAAAGTGCGCCTCGAGATGCTGGCACCTTAAACAGAGCTTAAACGCGCGTGCACCCACTTGTGCCCGCTTCCCTCCTCCCACTCAGCACTTGTGCTCATTATTTCAATGGCACTTTAACTTAATGACAGCTTAAATAGGGTTTACACTGTGCAACGTAGATGTCTGGGTTTTGTGGCTGCATTCATAAATAAGTTTACAGTATTATAATGGGCAAGGGAATTTTTGATTTCTTAACATTTTGTAAATGGCTGATGGGCTTTGTTGTGGCAAAATCAGTAGATATTCGTACTAAAAAGGAGGATGGAAGTTAAGATCTTAGTTGGTGAAATTTTGCTGGCTTCACCAGCAACAACAACACTTGGCAGAGCAAGAGCTTTTTTGCAACATAAATGCCATTTGTATTGGTAAACACAGCGTGATCAATCTGTTTTAGGGAGGGGCTAGGGTAGTAGTCGTGTGCAGTGATTGGTCTCGTTTGTGGCCCGAAGGAAAGTTTCTGTTGGCTTCACCAGCAACAACAACAGTTGGCAGAGCAAGAGCTTTTTCTGCATCGTGCATGCCTTTTGTATTGCGGTACAAAACAGCAAGCAGTGATCAATCTGTTTTAATGGGTTAGAGCGGGACAACTATTGTGTATAGCAATATGTGTGCATGCTCTAGCTGCTGCTTCTGCCTTCTGCTGGTTGCTCTCTCTCTCTCAGTAATACTCACTCTCTCAGAAGTTTTCAACGTGACAAGCCGAAGCACAAGAACGGAAGTTGAAATTGTGTGTAACTCTTTTATTTCTCCATAAACTGACTGCAGCAACTAATATTTAGTACTAATCCAAACTTAATGAAGCCTAAACTTTTATCCACCAGGCTTGAATTAATGTTTAAAGATTACTGTAGATTATTGTGCGTTGATTTTTTTTTGTTATAAATTTAGTGCATATTTTCGTACTAATTTAATGCAGTTACCCGATCTAATTGATGAGCCATTCATGGCTAGTAGTTGGGTCTTAGTGCCCTAATAAATTCGCACTAAAATCATGTACATAAATTAAGTCAGTGCTCATGTTCTTAACTGATTTTAGCACTTAAATAAATTGCTATATTTTAATATTAGCAAATTGAAATTTGAAATTAAAAATTGTAATTTTTAAATTTTTTTTTTTTCGCACTAAGAGTAGTTCTACCTTTGGGTTTAACTGCAGCTGACAGGGCGCCTGCCCACTCATTTATCTAACCCTTCCAACTTGTAAATGCCCGAAAGGACTTACCCGAGTGACTGTGTTGCCATCGCCAATCCTGACAATGTTTTTAAATGGATCATCATGGATTTCGGCTATGCCCCAGCTGTTTGTCGATTTTCCAGCTGCGTATGAGGCTGGTGCCGAGGCTGCTGTCACTGCTGCTGCTGCTCCTGCTCCTCCTGCTCCTGTGGCGGCGGCGGCGGCGGAGGATGATGATGATGATGCTGCTGTGGCTGTTGTCGTCGTCGTCGTGTTGCTGTTTAGTGTTGTTGCCGTGGCCTCGGGCCCGTTGGCTGTGGTTGGTGTTGCCGTTGCCTCTCCATTTTGTGCAAATGCCACAAGCAACAGCCCCAGCCACAGCATCACCAGAGCCGGACCGGCTCTTGTTGCCAGCAAAGTGTTGCTGGCCACTTGTTGATGTCGCTGACAGATTCCATCTAGCTTTGCCACTCGTCCGCATCCCCGTCCGCCTGCTCTCCGTCGTCGACTGTCCGACCCATCTAGTGCCTGCTCCTGCTCCTGCTGTTGCTGCTGCCTCTTCTTGCGCCTCCCTGCATTGAGCCAGCATTTCATTGTTGTTTTTGCATTTGCAACTGCAACGGAAAGAGATAAATGGGGGTGGCAGAGCCAGAGAGTGGAGCGGATTAGTAACAAACGACTTTGACGACTTTAAAAATTAGTTTTAATAATTTGCTTTTGCCTTTTGCGTTAAAAGATGTTTTCGCGACGAATACAAATTGTTTTTCTTTGGATTCTGTTTTTGCGATCTGAACTTTGGAAGTCTAGGAGAAGGGTATGCGATGGATGTGTGGTGGGGGGAGAAAATTCGAAAGTATAATTTACAGAGATCAAAGATTAAATACACAGAAGAAAGTTAAAAACTGTTTCTGTAGTGGCAAAAGGCATAAAATAAAGGCATAAAAGGGGAGTTTGTGCTTCGTCAATTTACTATATTTTTAACTATATATTATTATTTACTATATATATTATTATTTATCTATATATTATTATTTACTATGTTTCAACTAAATTATGGCCATGATGGGTAACTTTTGTGTTAAATTAAATGATCGATTAATGGTAGATTTTTTCGTAATGGTTATTGGTGTAAATTGCTGTGTAAATTCCAAACCTTTTATTAACCAAAACTACTGACTCCCGCAAAGATTATAATTTATTTTTTTTTCGGGAAAATTTCAAAGAGATTAAAAACTTCCCAAACTTATTCCCATATTAAAAGTTCAAAAGTTTTTTTTTTTAATATTTATAACCCCTATAAGCTGTACCCATGTATCTATTTTATTGGCAGCTGCTCAATTAACCCTCATCAGCAAGTGCCCACTTTGGCTTTCAGCACATGCAAAAATGATGAAGCCAACACATAAATAAGTTGTTGAAATATTTATGTATGCTCGAGACAAATGCAAACAGAACTAAAAGGTACAGGGACAGGGACAGGGACAGTCAAGAGTCGCAGCTCGAGAAGGCAGACAGAGCTGCAGAGTAAGAAATGACAGCTGAAAGTGAAAGCAGCGACAGATAGTATCTGTGCTTACACCTGCGACGCCCACAACTGGTTCCATATAAAACCAACTCGTAAATAAATACAAAAGACATAAATAAAAGGAAAAAAAGAAAGGAAAGATAAAGAGTCGCAGAAAGTGTTGCCCAACCCAACCTAACACATTTTCCACTTCCCCTTGCACCTTTTTGCTGAATGAAAGCAAACGAAATGTAAATATCAAATAAAAAGCGTAGAAAAAGATGAAAACTGCGACACATATTTTGCATTAGAAGGGAAAGAAACTCAGTTCAGGATTTAAGTTTCAGACCACTTCTGTCTACACATATTCGGGGCACAATCCCCGAGGTTCTCTCCTTTTTGTTTGCTCTCATCCATAAAGAGGTAAACTCCTTTAGATTCGGCGTCGTCTACTCGTACTACTCCGTGACCGATTTTATTTGCAATGCTTTCAGTGGGTCTGCAACAGCAACAGCAACAAATGTCTGCCATTTGTAAGAAAGTGAGTAATAATGGCCCGGGCTAAAAAAAAATATAAATGTATGGCCATAAAGTCGAATATCGATTGGAATCCACTCTATTTTTTTTTTTTGCACTCTACCTTAATGCTTTATGGCTGGCGGAATGTGTGAAATATGTTACAAGTTGTGCAGCAAATGTAAGCGAATGTAGCAAATGGAGATAATTTAAAAGGAAACACTGCCAATAAATTAAATACTATGAAGTTTAAATTGGTTGCTGCTACACTCGCATGAAAGTAGTTTAAATAAGCATTAAAGAATATAATTTCTCTCAGTTTTTTATTGCCAAAACTTGGACAGCAAATTTCATTATTTATTTTAAGTTATAAGCTGCATATTTTAGCTCTTAAATAAGCCGAATTTTCAGCTACATTTAAATTGTTTGTGCACCCGTACGCCCCATATAATCGCACTTTTCATTATCCTTTGTACATCTGCTATGGCTGCATGCCACTTCTCCACATATTAGCCATTTGTTGGTATTGGGTAAATGTGTACAAAAAAAATTTGCCAGCCATTTGAACTTGACTGACGACGACACGACAGCATGTGGATTATGATGATGACGATGGCGATGCATCATTATGATTTCACCCGCAGGCTGGGGCTCCTCCATGTTTGTGCGAGTATTTATTGTTTACAGTTGGAAAATTCTACCTACCAACCTCCCTTCTATGTAGCGAGTACGAGCACGCGTATGGTGGCATTTTTCGCGTATCATGAGCATGACTAAGCAGCGAAACATATAGAAAAAAATACACACAGCACACATCGAAGCAGCAGACACGCAGCGATGTTGAAGAAATATGGACAATATGCTAAAGGATTGAGTGTGGATGCTGGGCAGTGGCACGAGTAGCTGGCGGAGCACTTCATAGAGAGAAAAAAAAAGCCAAAACGCTGTGAAAGGGTTCAGAGCATCCGTGCGCCCTCACAAATAAACCCACACACAAGTCAACTCAACCAAAAAACCCCCCCCCTCCCCAAAAAAAGGAAAAAAAAAGAGACATACATACATATAAGCGGAAATGCTGTTGAACATGGCCTGCCATTTCTTGTTGATCCTTTTTATTTGCAAGCAAAAATAAACACGAGCCGGAGAAGGAGCAGCAGCAGCAGCAAAAACGAAAGTCCCTCTAAATCTGTTTCGGACGTTGGTTAGGAGAAGAGGAACCAGTACCAGTACCAGTCCCCGTACCAGTCCCCGTACCAGTCCCCGTACCAGTCCCCGTACTAGTCCCAGCCCAGTATATGCAAATCCTCAAAGCATGCACACAACACTCATCAGCAAAAGTCTGTGCTGAGTGTGCGGTTGATTAGAAAACGATTAGTCGTCTCAGCAATACTTCAGCTGTAAGCCTTTTCCTCTGCCTCTAACGATTATGAAAATGTTCTTGATTTACTCACTTGATTCGGCAACTTTGAATTGATAGGGTAATAGTTTGGCAAGAGAGAAAACCAGTCGAAACGTTGGGCACCCACATTTATGTAAGCATTCTACGAGTTTCTCTCACACAGAGTAGCTGAGCTTTATATATTTTTTCAATTTCTACGCTACTCTGTGTAACAAATGGAGTGCAGCAAAATAGTTTAATTCACTCTGACTATAATAAAAAAGATCTAAAACAGATTCTGCAATCTTATTATTGTTTATTTATTTTTCATTTGTTCATTTTATTGTTATTTTTCGAGACAAAATTATTAACCAAATGGTTAATAAATACACTCGTAATACGGAATACAATTTTATATGGGATACAAAATTTAACACAATATTTAAACTTAACTTAAACGAAGTAATCTTCCAAAATATTTACTTATTCTCTTAATAATTTCTTGTATTTTTCTGTTTTCTGTTCGCTTGTTGTATGCTGACTAGTGTAATTATTTGCACATGTGCACATCTGAATATTTACTTTGTAAGTTTTATAAAATTTGGGTTTTCATGTTTGGTCTGCTCTGCTGTCGAAGTTGTTGTAATTTCCATAGACATTTTTCGGCAGGGCTGTGCGAACGGCTTTGATTTTATGCATTTAAAATTTCAGAAAATGTCAAAAATGTTGTAGACATTCTGGTTATCTGGTCAGGTGTGTGTTTGAACGAAAAAGAAAAGGTCTGAAAGACTTAGGGCTCCGCTCCCCCTTTCGTGCAGTCCTTGAGTGCATTCAGCAGCCAAAACAATCCTCAAGTGAATGTATATTGAGAATTTGCTGGCAAACAATTCAAACGTTTATTAAATTCCAACAAATTGGTCTATCTGCCAGTTCTCTCTTTTTTATATCTACATATACCCTCTATTATCCCTTCAATGGTAAGACATCTGAAATGTAAATCCACGTTTCCACTTTGCATGTTGGATAATCTAGCTAAATGTTGCCATTTGCTCTACCCACTATCAAAGCCAAGCTGCCGGCTAATGCTGTGGTCCTGCCAATCATTTTGGGGCACGCCTATCAACCATTTCAAATCTTTGGGACAATTTTTCTTGCCTCGCTAAAGACGCTTTTCCCATGAATTAGCTTAGCAGGAGGTGGCCTTGGGGCGGGGGTTTCGATGTAAAGAAGGAAAAACTCCTGAGGCCTGCATTAATTTAATGAGGCTCCTTCTGCCTTTGATTTGCCTGCGGTTTTTTTTTTGCCATCTCATTTTCCTAGTCCAAGTGTCGAAACGTTTCAACGCCTTTTTACTTGGATTTTCTATTGGGTTTTTTTTTTCTTTGAGTGGGCCCTGGCTGGCTCACAGCCTCTCAGCCTCTCTCAGCCTCTTTCAGCCTCTCTCATCCTCTCAGCCTCTCTCTCTCTCGCAGCCTGCGGTCAAAGCGTCACAGCTCAACTGGAATAAGTGAAGTTGTCAGTCGGTTGTTCTTGTTGTTTCCGTAAGCTGTTTGCCTGTCATGTGTTTTGCATAATGTTCTGGACTCGACTGAACATTTGATTCGACATGGATCAACTTTCGCCTCACACACACACCCCACAAACACAAATTAGTTTGTGGGGGAAATTGGTTTTTCGATTATCTGTATCAGTGTTCAGTGCAAAAGGGATACATATATGTACATGAGTTGGGGGCATAATCCTACATTTATCCCATAGATAAACAGACCACAGCCAAGGCTGCCAATGTTGCCCAAGGTCTTGGTTACTCAAGGTCCATATCTAAGATTAATTTACAGCACAACACACAAGCCACTGACTTAAAATATCTGAGTAGGTGGGTCCAGGGCAGTTATAATTTCTGCCTATATTCAATCAACTTTAATGTATGAATTTTGGCATTATTTTAGATCAGCTTGAGTGACTTTAACTCTTAATGACAGTTGTACCATAATACTTCCTCCTCTGTCTATTATTCTCCTGTACTATAATTTAGTACTCTTCCATTTAGAGCTAAGCGAAGTATTTGCTTTTATTATAATAAAATAAAATAATGGTATATACAAAACTAAATATTAAATAAAGAGATAAATTATCTGGTGTAATTAATGTTAAAGCTATTAGCAGGGAGGCAGCGCTGTTAGCAAGCCAGAGTTAACAGCCGGTTGCCGCTCTTG